ATTTTGATGCAGTGACCGCGTTGGGAGGAGCGTGGAAATATTCAGACGAAGCTTGTAGTAGTACCTAGTTTGGTCTGGTTAATCAGCTGCCCAACGTTAGGGGTGTGCCCAGATTAGTTTGAAAGTCGTCCTATTTGAAATGAAAGTGATATAATTAGGATTTCGCCATTAACATGGTATATAGCTTCAATGGCATGTTTCCTCTGATAACGTGGCGGACCTGGGTTACAGCTGTGCCTCCTTATTATTAATTAATTCAAAATGTTGAAGGAATCGACCTCAAGCGTGACTGAGGGTTCACCCAACGATCAGCGTCTTATATGTGGCATTTGCAACAGCGTCATTTTGCTTGCTGGCGTTGGTCGCTGGACTAACAAGGAAGAAGTGCTGCCGCTGTGTCGACAGCAAAAAGACGTAGACACTCAAAAGGTGACGATTTCATAGCGTATTTAATGCTTCAGTTCCTGTTTTTTCAAGGGGGATTTTGCGATTAAAAGTGAGAATCAATTCTTGCAAATGGGGAGACAGCGTGGTCCCCGAACAAAATCATACCTATTCGGCGTCAGAAAGTTGTAACGTAGGGGCGTTAAGACGTGAGGTTGGTCAGGTGATTCAAATAGAGCGCAAGTGAGTTCGGCCTTCTATGGGCTCTGTCGTCTAGCCCGTTTGTATGCTCTTCCGCAGCTGTTTTCTGATTTCATGCGAAGACTGAACAATTCCTCACCCCCCGCTCGAAACAAAATTCAGACTGAACAATTCCTCACCCTTCGCTCGAAACAAAATTCACTTCACCCCTTCCTTGGAAAAAAGGTCCTTATTGAGGGCGTTTCCGACGGGTTCTCCGCTTTCCTCCGCTTTCTTTTACACGGTAAGGCAGCTAGAACTGCTCTACTGTTTTTCAACCCCGCTATCATGGAGTTTCCGACGGATGATTGCGGAATGGGCCTTGAAGCTTCATGTCATTGTGGAAAGCTTCAAAATCGCCTACATGGGTTGCGAATGAAAAATTTGTGATGTGAAAGAATGAACAAGGATTAAGCAAGATTCAGGGGGGGGGGTCAATTCACTGGTACTTCCGTTCTGCGAATTATCCACGTTGAAGCTATGAACGAAACCCAAGTCCTGTAAGTGGACAGACAGCCAGTGAGTGAAGTTCCGTATTTACCCTTTCGTCGAGAATCACTCTTGACGTAACCTTAGAAGGGGTTGTTCTTTATTCAGTGACCTTTCTTGCTCGTTGTTCTTCGCGTTTGATTTTGGATTAAGGACGAACTGTACATTCACTTGAATCCTGGTCCTTGCCGAGCGTGAGTTGAGTGAGTCTGCAGCTGCAGTTCCTTGCTTGCTCCTCCGCCTAACTG